AGTCTCAGTGATGCGAAGAACGCGTGCTCTTTGCAAAGAGCACAGTATTGATTCCCCCCGAATCTCATTGAACTGAAAATCTCACTCAATGTCTTTCCCCTGGAGCTTCATCAAACACACACCTGAGACGGGGAAGGAGTTTAAATTGCGGAGGCGTTTTGCCATTACTGAACAGAAACGAAGATTGAGTGGGGGAAGGGCAAACAGGTGACTAATTTGTTGACGAACCTTAAACGCCTCACTTGATCTGCTTCAGTTTCCTTCACATCCCTGCCTGTTTTTCTGTAATTATGATGCAAACATGAATGCTCACTCTAAAATGGTTTCTGTGATTAAAAAGTACAACTTATCAAGGAAAAAGACCAACCAAAGACATCTCTTAAAAAGCTGATGTGCCCAAGGAAAACCTAAATGCAAGTGAGTCTGGAGTCGGTAGCTGGCCAGACCCCTGGAGGGACTTCCGCGCGCCCAGTTAGAACCCCAACAACTTTCAGTTTGGGGGCTTGGGGCTGACTGCCCTCCCAGACTGCACCCTCGGTGGGAGGTGTCCTGACTGCCGTGCTCCAGGGTGCAGGCCCACAGGCACTTTCAAAGGTGTTGATTACAGTACGAATTAGTAAGCCTTTATGGAAAGCAAGGCCATTTATCAACATTTATTAAAACATTTAAAAGCATAAACAGGACTTCCGTTTCCCACTAAATGCAGCTAAAGACAGGAAATGCTACACTGAAAACAAAAAGACTCTGAAAGATGGAGAGGAGCAGACTGGGAAGGGGCTCTGGGGCCAAAGAAAGAACAGCACTGAGTTCTTGCTGTTCTCTTTGCTCCATACATCCCAGACTAGCCGCTGGAGAAGCTGGTCCCAGAAATGCCAGCCAATGTAGACAGAACACACACAAGAGCTGGCTTCCTCTGCGCAGAGACAAGAGACAGGGCAGCCTCACAGGACAGACGTGTTTAGACAGCAATGGCCTTACTGCAGCCAACCCCACAGAAAACTCTGAGGGCCAGCCCCATCTCACCTGCCAAGTCAGAGGAGACCAGGGGCTTCCTTCCCCAACGATGTCAGTGGAAGCCAGGAGAGAAGCCCGATTTCACCTGCCCAGCAGAAACAGGCCACACCCCTCCTCCCAGACAGAGTGAAACCATAAAGGCCCAACAGGGAACTTACACCCACACAGCAGATACCAATACCAAGGAGGCTGGGAGGGGAGCCTGGATTACATCCCTCCCCCCATCCATGTCAGAGGAAGCCTGTTCTGCTCAGAAACTTAAATAAGATCCAGTCTCAACATCACACCCAAATGTCCAGGCTGCATCAAAGATCACTTTCCAGAGCAAGAACAAAGATCTCAATGAAACAAAAAAAGAATCCACAGGTACCCACACCAAGATGACATAGCTGTCAGAGTATCTGGCAGATTTTAAAGGAGTCAGCCTTAAAATGCTTCTATGAGCAACTATAAACTTATGCTTGAAACAAAAGAAAACTAAAAAGTCTCATCAAAGAAATCCTATATAATAAAAGGCTAATATGCAAATAGAACAAACGGTAAAACTCTACCGGTCAGTATAATGCGAACTGATCACCAGGGGGCAGACACTCAACGCAGGAGCTGCCCCTGGTGGTCAGTGTGCTCCCACAGGGGGAGCACCACGCAGCCAGACGCCAAGCTCATGGCTGGCGAGTGCAGTGGCAGTGGCCTCTCCTGCCTCCGTGGCAGCACTAAGATGTCAGTCGGACATTCCCCCAAGGGCTCCCGAACTGCAAAAGGGCACAGGCCGGGCTGAGGGACACCACACACACACACACACACCCTCCCCACAGTGCACGAATTTCACGCACCAGGCCTCTAAAAGATATAAAGAACTGAATGGAAACTTCAGAACTGAAAAATACGACCACCAACCTTGATGGGTTAAAATGCAGAATGGAGGAGAAAGAAGAAAACCAGTGAATATGGAGTTAGAATAAAGGAAATCACACAATCTGAACAACAGAGAGAAGAGATTGAAGAAAATGAACAGGCCTCAGGGACACATGGGACTACAACAAAAACCTAATGATGACGTGAATAGATCAGCTGGATCCCAGGAGAAAAAAAGCAGGAGGTGCTGCAGAAGTATTCAGAGAGGTAACAGGTGAAAACTTTCCAAATTTGGCAAAAGGCATAAACCTTCTAAGAAGCTGAGTAAACCCCAAACAGAACAAACCTCAAGAAGTCCACTCCAAGACAAGATAAACTTCTGAAAACGATAGACAAACACCCTGAACAGCGTATTTATCAGAAATCATGGAGGCCAAGAGAAAGTGGCACAACACTCTTCAAGTGCGGAAGGAAAATAACTGTCAACTCAGAATCCTATATCCGGCAAAAAATACCTTCAGAAATGAAGGGAATCAAATCATTCTCAGCTGAAGAAAAACGAAGAGAAACTGCTGCCAGCTGACCTACCCTCAATGAATGGCTAAAGGAATTTCTCTAAGCAGAAAGGAAATGATAAAAGAAGGAATCTCGCCAATTCCATGAAGGAAGGAAGAAGAGAAAAAAACAACGATTGAGTAAATATAATTTCCTTCTCGACGCTTCTAAACTAAGTGTAATGGTTAAAGCAAAAGTTACATGTCTGGTGTGGTTCTAAATGTATGTAGAGAAAAATAGTTAAGACAGTTTTCAATGAGGTAGGGTTTCCACACGTCACCCAACCTGATAGAATCATGACACCGGTGGACTAAGTTGTGTAAATAGATAATGTAATACCCAGACCACCTCTAAAAAGCTATACAGAGATATACCCAAAAACACTACATATCAATAGAGGTGAAATTTCAAAACAAGGTCCAAGTAACTTGCAAGACGTCAGGTAAGAGAAGGCGGAGAACAGAAAACAGCCCTGGCGCTCCAGGGGCTCAGAGCATGGTCCGCGGTCTCTCTCTCTCAAATCAACAGAAACATACCCTCAGGTGAAGATGTTTTAAAAGTAAATGAATGTGGGCCGTGGTCTCAAAAAGATAGTCAGCGTATTGATCTTTCTCCAACTTTCCAAGAGTTAGTCCTCAGCTAATTTGCAAAACTTAGGGCTAGTCCTGCCTATTTCACCGGGGAAGGTCTGCAGGAAATCCCAGGGCGAACCCGCTCAGCCCAGGGCGCTCCCCCTAACGCTGCTCAGGGCGATGCCTGCTCTGGGCCTCCAGCACCGCTGCGACCTGCAAAGGGCACCGCGGGCCGGTTCCGGGCGAAGCGCAGAGGGCTGGTTCCGGTCCGCTCGGCCGCTAGTTTCATGGCAGTGTCAGTGGCCGCTCACACTATGCCAGGTAGGCTTGCGGGAGGGAAAAGGGCACCAACACGGGCGAGCAAGCCTCCTGCAGAAGGATGAGGACGTGGGTGCTCACCCACGGGCCACAGGGGGAAGGTGGGCGCGGTGGGGTACTGAGCAGGGCAGGTGCTGGGTACGTGGGATGCTGCGGGGTCATCCGCTCACCGAGGGTGTCACCTCAAGGAGCAGCGAGGAAGAGCGAGGACGGTGGGTACTGAGGCTGGCACGGAGTGCGGGAGGGGGCCCCGCGCCCCTGGGTGCTGCAGAGTCACTCCTCGCCGGGCATGCGCAGCCCTG